ATCATTATAATCTATATCATAGAGTAAGTGGCAGGAATGATATTGAATACATGCAAAGAGCAGAAGATTAAGAGAGATATGAGAGAGGTCACTGTCGACACTAAAAGCCTAAGACTGATTGTATGATATGATTGTTCATTTAAGACTCGGAGTGAACAAAGTGCGTATTCAGTATAAGTAACCTATGTTGTTTCATTTTTACATAAAAATTTATGCTGAATGACGATGGAATGATATTTCACCCATATTTTGACATTTTATTTTCACAGAAGTTACTTGAATCATTATAATCTATATCATAGAGTAAGTGGCAGGAATGATATTGAATACATGCAAAGAGCAGAAGATTAAGAGAGATATGAGAGAGGTCACTGTCGACACTAAAAGCCTAAGACTGATTGTATGATATGATTGTTCATTTAAGACTCGGAGTGAACAAAGTGCGTATTAACAAGAGATGTAATTTCAGCTCGACTCTTAGAGATAATGAACGCAAATCACAACAGACACCCTGCAGCCTCCCTCATCCTCCACACAGATATCTGACTAATATGACAGTAAATAAGGACGTCCACTGCTGGCCATCTTAATTTGATTAGAAAAAACATCCTCACACACACATAAACCCTACAAGCACACACTCCCGCCATTAATCCAGCAGTAATTTGCTTTCACTTGCTATCAGCCAGAACAAATCGCTCTGTCTCAGGAAAACATTTGCGAGAAGTGCAAGAGAAACATGAGGCCAATTGTGGGAGAACAGCATTAGGACGCAGCGGGACGCCTGTTACCGGATGCTGGGGAGAATCTGCCTGGATTACAGCCGCATGAGCGGCCAACCGCTGGCCGTCAGAGGATCAGGGTTTGAATGGATTACAAGTGGACACAGCGATCCTCAAGTCCGCTACAGCACCAATACCTATCAAGACAAGACTACAACAGGCTCTGGCCAATCATATAAACTAAACTAATGTAATGTAACATAAAGATGCATTTCTGGACAATGCCACTCCAAACTTTCAGAAATCTACTCTACTCATAAGAAGGTCGCAATTACCTTTCTTTAGACATTCCATAACATTATTATTTAAGAGCAATGCACTGGAAGTGCTAAAGTCATTTCTCAGTGGGGGATTGACATCTGTTTTACATGAGTGTGTCAACGTAAAGATTTTTTTAAAAAAAATTTTTATCATCTTGAAATGATGATCAAAATGATTTCTGTAATTTCATCCAACAAAATAGTAGCCATTCATCAAATCCACTGATAATACTTACTAAAGTTTGAGCTGTTGATTTCATGAGTTCTCTCCAAAGTGATGTCACTTCCTGGATGATGTCATTAAGGAAGTGGCTGGTGTTAGTTAAAGTTTTTTTTTGTTTTTTTTTGATAAATTGCTAAACAAAATATTTTGTAAAAATGTTTGTAAAATCTTTGTAAAAATGAAGAAACACCTGGATTTAAATTTAAAAAAAATTTTATTCTGTTTTTCATTCATAAAAGTTAATACAGTATAAGAAATTGCTCATTTTTTCAAATGTACCCCATGTTCTTTATAATACAAATAAATATGATTTCCACAAATTTGGGGTTTAATATTTTATTCAATACACACACACACACATTTATATATATATATATATATATAAAGAACGCATGAAATGACCTGATCACACTGAGTACAAGCTCCATATTTATTATTTATTTGTTCAATAAATTGCACAGTATGCAGTGCTTACGTTTGAACGTTTCAGTGCAGTAAGCCACATATTTAACTAAATATATGTTTATGAGGAATATTTTGTCTCCATTTATTTAATTGATCTGCCCATCTGCCTTTGGAGTGGCTGCCAGTGCTGCAGTGGAGCTGTTTGAGTCTCAGCACACCGGCTGGCCGCGCTGCATCTGAAGGTGCTATTTGATTAGAGATTCCTGTCTTTGCTGACACAGAGCTGTGAGACTGATGTCTGAGAAGATTCAACACTCATCATCCGCTTACTTTACATCCATCACAACACAGCTGACAACGGCTAGCCACTTTCCATGAACACAGTTCATATCATATAGACTGCTTTTATTTGGTCAAAAATACAGTAATATTGTGAAATATTATAATTTCAATTTTTTATTTTTATTTGAATGCTTTGAAATGTAATTTATTTCTGTGATGCAAATCTGAATTTTCAGCATCATTACTCCAGTTTTCAGTGTCACATGATCCGTCACATGAATTGAAGCACCTACAATAATTAATAATAATGGGCACCAAATCAGCCTTTTAGAATGATATCAGCATATTAGAATGATTTTTATTCTATATTTAATATATTTGTATTTTAAAATATTTTTATTTTACTTTTACTGTATTTTTCATCAAATAAATGTAGCATTTGTGAGCATATATATATATATATATATATATAGGAGACTGTTGAAAACTTGGGTTTTATTTTAATTTATATATTCTATATATAATTTTTCTGTGGTTTGCGGTTTTTGCAGGCCTGTCACCAAAATTAAGGTAAATGTCTAATGTTTAAAACCTTGATATGTCTCATTTTGTTATTTCAAACAAATAAATAACATTAATTATAAATGAGTTCATAAAAAAGGAATGTTGCTTTTTACAATCATATTATTAATAACACACTGACATTGCATGAATTTAATTATATAAAGTTGAAAAGGGAATACAGATATTTAATGCATTTAAAAATAGAGGCTTTTCATGTTGTAGGTGAATTTATTTTGTTAGATATCCGTTTATCAGACATAGGGTGAATTCAGTATAAGACATTTTTCCCAGTCAATTCAATGACAAAATGTTTCCAAATTTACCTAAATTCAACCCTATCTAATAGGTCTCATAATAAAAATTAAAAAAGTCAGAGGACATTAAAATGTACCATATTCATGGAATGTGCAGATTCCTTATTTATATTTCACCATATGATGCAACAAAATGTTGACTGTCTGTGAGATAAAAGAAAAAACCCTTTATTAAAGGGGTCATATGATGCGATTTCAATTTTTCCTTTCTCTTTGGAGTGTTACAAGCTGTTGGTGCATAAAGAAGATCTGTAAAGCTCCTGCCGGACAGGGCATCACAGTATGGTAATGGGCGTAACATTTCCATCTCACGCTTGAGGTATTCGGCCAATCACAATGCACTGGATAGCTGGCCAATCAGAGCACACCTCGCTTTTCAGACCGATGAGCTTTGTAAAAATCGATGCGTTTCTGAAAGGCGGGGCATAGAGGAGAAACTATAATGTACAGTATGTGGAAAATAATGTGTGTTTTGAACCTTAAACAGCATAAACACATTTCATTACACCAAATAATGTTCTTTTTAGCAACATCATATGACCCCTTTAAGTCACTGGCTGACTTGGCAGTAAGACAGCAGCCTCTGGTTTCAGACAGTCATTATGAGCTCATAGCTGGACTTCAAGCTTCCAGACCACCGTAGCCTCCGCTGCGCTCATGGGATCCAGGATCAGAGCTTCTCCACCACAGCTTACACATCACTGACCTTTAACAGCAGCGCTTTATGAATGGTCGCCGTCAGACCCATATTTGCGTGGCTCCTGATGCAGGTTTTGTTGAAACTGGGTCACAGGTGTTCATTTCATCCAGGGGAATTTATGAAGCCATTCCTCCAGCCCGCTAATTTCTGTCTGTCCTGCGGTTGTGCTTCCAGGTTTTACAGCTAACCTATTCGTCAAAGGAATTCACGTTTTGGCTTATGCTGGTTGACAATTTTTCTTTTTAACCACATTAAAAAATATGAGAATTGTTGTCGGCCCTGTTCCAAATCAGGCTCCGTTCACTTTTTGGACCTGCATTTTCAAGCTCTGTCTTTTTCTTTTAGTCTTTCCTGCACATAAAAGGTATGTTGTAATTATTTCTTATGGCTAAAACCTGGTTTACCCAGTGGATATCTTGTCATTTATATGTTATTACAGCTTCACCACACGCTCAAAAATTTTGAGTCAGTATAAGATATTTTTTGAAGAGGAAGAGATTAATAGTTACATTCAGCAAGGATGCATTAAATCAAAAGTGACAGTAAAAACATAAAAAAATGTTACAAAAGATTTATATTACAAATAAATGCTGTTCTTTTGAACTGTCTATTCAATTTTTCTTTTCTAAGAAAAGAAAAATTAAAGTTTCTTCAAAAGTAAGGAACAGCAGTTATTAAAATTAATAAGAAGAAATATTTCTTGCGCAGCAAATCAGCATATTAGACTGATTTCTGAAGGATCATGTGACACTGAAGACTGGAGTAATGATGCTGAAAATTCAGCTTTGCATCACAGGAATAAATTACATTTGAAAATATATTAATAGAAAATGATTATTTCAGAATATAAAAAATATTTTACAATATCAGTGTTTTTACTGTATTTTTTATCAAATAAATGCTGCCTCGGTGATCATAAACTTCATTCAAAAAATAGATAAATAAAAACTATATTGACCCCAAACTTTTAAATAGTAGTGTATTAGTATATTTATGAATTGTTCTTCACATATATCTCTTTAGCTGTTTAAATCAACATGTTTTTGCAAACTCTGTGTATGTAAATGAAAATCACGCTTTAATATAGTAAAAAAGAAAAACATACCACACATCCTCTAATCCAGTTTTATTCTTTTTCAGCAAAAGAGGAAAGGAAAAAAGGAAAACAAGAAAACAAAAAAAAGAGAAAGGCTACAGAAATTTATCTTATCCATATCTTCGTTTTTTTGTATGTTTTTTTTTTGTTAACCTAAAAAGGGCAAAGTAATGCAGCTCTATGCTTAGAGTGAGAGTTAACCAGAAACACAAAGGAGGTTAAATAAGGATTTTTCTTAAGATACACAATATTCATCTCTTTTCTTCAGTTCTGTCCATGTCAGCATCTCAACAGAAAACCAGTCAACGTAATACATTTTTTTTTTTAACAAAACAAAACAAAAAAAGCGCCAGTAAATTGAGACTCCGCCTTCCTCATTCCCACCAGAGCTGAACACATCCCTCCATAATGCATGTGAGGGAGGGAAGGAAAGAAAGAAAGAAAAAAGAGAATGAATCAAGAGAATATAGAAAGAAAGGTTAGCATGAGCAGGCAGGAGAAAGTACAGGAACTAGTGAGAATGAAGGAGAGGAAAAAAAAAAGATCACCGAGATCTTCAGCTGCTTTAAAAGAGGCAGAGTGTATGATGCAAGGTCTGATGGGAGTCGTACAAGGTTACAGAGTGTGTTTATTCAGACCTGAACAAACTAGTTCTCAGATGAGCTGTGGGCGGCCCTTTCCCAACCGAACCCAAACCAAAGGGTACCGTCTGATTTATGAAAACACGGCTGTAAGTGCATATGTGAGTGTGAGTGTATGCAAGTAAAACGGGCACGGCTCTGATGCGGCCCGTCGGCTTGAGCCGCGTCAGAGCCATGCCCGGCCTTTTTTATCCCGGGACGGGGTGACTCCTGTGATCCAGGTCGGCCCCCTTCCCTCGGTCAGTGTCTGTCATCAGAACGTCCGGAGCAGAAATTCCCAGAGGTCTCGATCGATTGATGTGTTTCCCCTGGAGTCGATCGCAGCCTCTGAGACGAGAGCAGTTCTCCAAAGCACAGACCGCCAAATTCATCTGACCTACTGACCTGCGTTTGGGTGTGTGGAGGGACAGATAACAGAAAGTTAAGGCTGTGCGGATCGCCTGTGTGTGATGAGCACGAGGCTACTGAGAGGGGTCACAGGTCAGAGGTCAAGCAGGGGTGTAGGTCCTCTGAGATGTGTTGGAGGAAAAAAGATGCCACTAACAGGTGAGTGAGTCATGTGGTCGGTGGACAAGTGTGTGTGTGTGTGTGTGTGTGTGTGTGTGTGTGTGTGTGAGAGGGAGAGAGAGAGTGTGTGTGTGTGTGTGTATGTGTGTGCGTGCGTGTGTGCAGGGGGGGCGTTCAAGAGCACTCCTCTCCGATGCGCTGGCAGGTTCGGCCCACCTTGCGGTCCAGTTTCACCATCTTCAGCACAGCTTCCTCTCGGCCGCGGCCCAGATGGTCAAACATACAGTCGTGTTGCTCCGGCAACCGGTGCAACATGCAGAACACATAACCTGAGAACAAGAGAGAGGGAGAGCGATCAAAATGAGATGAAAGTGTTGTACAATCTGCTCAAGGTTGATTTTAATAGCACAGCACGTAACACTCGGTTTAACTAATTTTTTTAACAGCATGCTTGAGAGCACATCTTGTTCCCCACACGCGCCGCCTCTTTAAGACATCAGGAATGGCTCTGAAAAGTCACTAATTACGTCACTGTTAACCCAGCTGAAGTGTTGGCTTTTTAAATGAATGCCAGAGAGCTGGCAGAGAGATTACAATGAGCTCAGATCATTTCTAAGTAAAAAGAAAAGGATTTTAGTGGTGCTTGCCCATGCAGTGCAACACTGGCATGATGAAGGAGTTGTTGGAGGTGCTTACAAACTGGAACAAGTAAAAAAGAGCCCACCTCCAAGTCTATATGATATCCTAAAGCTAGATTATTGCTCGGGTCCATCCTTCAGTGCAATTATGTGTAGTGCTTTTTTGCCATTTTTCCCCCCTCTCCAAATCTAATTTCAGTTCTCAAGTTAGTGTTCAGTTGGTATAAAAAAAAATTGTGCATTTAAGATTGTTTGTAGCTTAGCTATGTTAGAAGCTAAATATAACAAAATATTAAAACATATATTAAAAACTAAAATATTTGATCATTTGAAAACAAGCAAATAAAAAAAAAAGGAAAGGAAATGTATCAGCAGAAAAGTTGCCACCAAGGTGCTATTCATTTTATTTAAAAGCAACATAATATAAAAATAAAATATTATAATATGAAAAGCAAAAAAAGTAATAAATAGTTCAAATTAAATAAATAATAAAATAAAATGTTTAATAAAATAAAATAAAAAATTAAACAAATAATAATAATAAAATACAAAAAATAATGCCAAGTCTTTATGATATCCTAAAGCTAGATATGGCTTGGGTCTCTCTTTCAGTGCAATCCTATGTATTTTTCTTCTCTCCAAATTCAATTTCAGATTCAATTTAATTTCAGTTTCAATTTAGTCGATTATTGGTATGACCAAAAAAAACAAAAAAAAAAACATGTGTATTCAGATTTGTTTGCAGCTTAGCTGTGTTAGAAGCTAAATAATATATTTTTTAAAGCATGAAAAATGCTAAATATTTTATAAATATTTGGTCCCACTTTATATTAAGTGGCCTTAACTACTATGTACTTACATCAAAAATTAAGTACAATGTACTTATTGTGTTCATATTGTATTGCAAAACACTTTTGCTGCTATTGAGGTGGGATGTGGGTAAGGTTAGGGACAGGTTTGTTGGTATGGGTAGGTTTAAGGGTGGGTTAAGGTGTAAGGGATGGGTCAACTGTGTAATTATAAATGTAATTACAGAAATTAATTACAGAAGTAATTACATGCAGGTATTTTAAATATATAAGTACAATGTAAAAACATATATGTACACAATAAGTGCATTGTACCAAATTATTAATTTAAATGTAAGTACATAGTAGTTAAGGCCACTTAATATAAAGTGGGACCAAATATTTTATAAAAAGAATTTTTTTTTTTATAAAATCCAATCAAATAAAATAATAAACTAAAGAAGGGCGTTCTGCCAGACGATTTGAGGTATCATTCATGATAAGACAAATGTGCAGTGTTAAAATCTCAAACACCAAACAGAGAAATAGCTATGCAAGCAAACCCCACTAACTAAAAGTTAGACAGTCGTACATTGGGAGTGTAATGAAATGAAATCTGAAATTATATATATATTAAAAAAATAATAATAATAACAATACAATTTAAAAAAAGTTTATTGGACATCAAATCCTTTAAACCAACCACTAACTATAGGTAGGCCAAAAGTAGGCTGACTTCTTGTGTAAAAACTGTGATCTGAGCTCATTTCCAAGTATATAAAAACCAGATCTGCACACGGAGGAGGATCCATTCCATCCTAAGAGCCTCATTAAGAAGAGTCTCGTTAAGCAGTTTAATATATTCATTAATACACATGGTGTTTTTAATGAGTCAGAGATGATTAAAAGCTTACAATGTTTCAATTACTGCAGCCACAGAAGAGCTGCACGGCACTGCACACACCAGTGCATCATGTAGTGCTATTCAGGAGCGACGTCGCTGAAGCTGCAGCCACACGGTAAAAAATGTGCATATATATTGTAGATGAGTTGTCAGCTTTTGAATTGTCTGATGAGAAAGAAAAACAGTGTGCAGCGTTGTTCTCACTGACTGCATGCAACCATGAACAAAGCATAATGTGCTGCCCAATTCATGAAAGATTCACTCAATTGAGGCGGTTCATATTAATAAATTGGCTGAATCGATTAGCAGAGGTCTGAATCAGTCAAACACTTGAAAGAGTGCTTACCCAAAAACCAAAACTAGCGGAAAAATTACCCTCAGGCCATCCAATATGTAGATGCGTTTGTTTCTTCATGGGAACAGATTTGGAGAATGTAGCAATCCATCACTTGCTCACCAATGGATCCTCTGCAGTGAATGGGTGCCGTCAGAATGAGAGTCCAAACAGCTGATAAAAACATCACAATAATCCACGCCACTCCAGTCCATCAGTTAATGTCTTGTGAAACGTAAACTTTGTAATAAACAGATCCATCAAGACGTTTTTATCTTCAAACCATCGCTTCTGGCTAAAATGAGTCCTCTATCCATAATATTGCTTTCTCCAGAGACAAAGTCATCTTGTCTAAATCAGGAGAGAAATATGCACAGATCAAGCACCGTTTATAAGTGAAAACAGTTCTAAACAAATATGTCAGTAGATTTTCATGTGAGAGGACAACATGGGATGGAATTTTTCACTGGAGAAACCAATATTATGGAATGTGGACTTGGCCAGAAGCAAAGGTTTAAAGTAAAAACGCCTTAAGGGTGGATTAGTTTCTTACAAACACACAGCTTTTCACTTCACAAGATGTTAACTGATAGACTGGAGTGACGTGGATTACTTGTGGATTATTGTGATGTTTTTATCAGCTGTTTGGACTCTCATTCTGACGGCACCCATTCACTGCAGAGGATCCATTGGTGAGCAAGTGATGGAATGCTAAATATTTTGATGAAGAAACAAACTCACCTACATCTTGGATGACCTCAGGGTGAGTAAATTTTCTCGTTTGAACCAGGGATGCACCGAAAATTATCTAGAGAAAATGGCATTTTCGGTTTTTGGCCAAAAGAGAATAACGGCTGAAAATATATGGCGCGCCGCATATATACCTGCAGGTTTCACTCTCCCTCTAGCAGTCGTCACTGAGCGGTGAGACGCTCCGCTTAATATTCCTCTCTATGAATGTGCGTTCAACTGAGTTGCTGATGGCCCATGCGAATGCTCACAGGAATGCTCACAAAGTCCACTCAAATAAAGCACTGACATGAAATTTCTATGTAGCATACTTGTTCCTGTTAGGGTTGTGACGGTGAGGAAATTTTCCCACTGGCTAATCGACGTGTGATAACACCGATAATACCGGTATCACCGTGGGGGCAGGGGCGTTCCCTCTTTTCCTCGCTTTCCTTCTCTTGCAAAAGCGGTGTGCGCATTTTACTTTCACTTTCAAATAGTGGCAATTCGGCGTAAAGCAATTGTTCGTTTTTAGTTCGTTTGAATTTTCCCTCTTTTCCTCGCTTTCCTTCGCTTTTAAATAGATTAAAAATTAGCATCAATTTGGCGTCAATTGCTTGAATGCAACAACGAAATACAACGTCAAACTCACTTTAGCCTATATATAAAACATAGAACTTTTAACAAACCAAATAAAAATACACCATGCTATAGGGCAGGCTATGCCTAATATAAAATAACAAATAACTTACATAAAGTTTAAATAGGTAGCCTATACAAAACTGGAAATAAATAAACATGTATAATATATAACCAAAAAAATAAGAAACGTAGAAAGTTTATTAGCAAAACGAGTAAGAAAGCTTGGAGGCACGGCATACACCTTGATGTCAAATAAAATAAATAATTCAAATAAAGTAAAAATCAGCTTTTCGTTTCGAAACTAAATCATCCGCCATCGTCTTGTCTGTCTCACCCCACTCTTCTTGTCAATCAGCTCGACTCACTCTCCTCACTGGATAAATGAAATCTGATCTGTGATGCGACTGTCGTTCGGCACACTGCATTGACCAACTGCATTCAGTTTTTAATTGTAGTGTCTGTTCTTTTACTGAACTAAATGATTTTTATTACTATAAAAAAATCAAAACGACGGTGGGGGTCGGTGCCGCGGTGGGCAAGTGACGTAACCGGTGTTGCGGCTTAACAACGGTATCACCGTCAGCACCGTCTATCGCGGCAAGCCTAGTTCCTGTTTGCAATACAACACTACTGTGTTGTAACATGGTGAAGTACAGTTGTACTGGGCAGCGCTGGTAAAATGACGCTGCCCTCTCGTGACGCTATGCTCTGCTCACATGCTCTGATAAAAATAGTTTTGTAGGACTATAAATTATTTGGATAATTAAACAAAAAAAATTCAGGTAAATCTGATTCTGTTGCATAGAACTGAAGAAAAATAATATATTGATATTTAATATTAATATATTTTCTGTCCAATTTTTTTTCAGTAAAAGTGAGATTATTTTATTGGCTTGTATTTTTTTATTCAATTCAGTATCATTAAAATTATTGGGTTAAATTAAAAAGTCTTACTAATTTATTTTATATAATTTAATCAAATAAAAAAATTATTATTAAAAAGCATTTTCGGTCTCGGTTTTCGGCAATGTGCATCCAGAATTTTCTGTTTCCGTTTCGGCCCAGAATTTTCATTTTGGTGCATCCTTAGTTTGAACAATTCCTTTAAAATCCATTACTTGCTCACTGGACCGCAGTTTATTATACCTTACTGTTCATCCAAGCAGATTTCCTAACCCTAGTTTTTGGTGTCAAATAACTCCAGGAGTCCTGTCTGAGATAAATCCCGGCGGGATAATGACTCAGATGCGAGCTGTCACGGGAACAGTCAGATCCATAAGTGTATTAGCAGAACAGTGGGAACTGTCATTAGACTGATGACTTACAATACCACCTTCAGTTTAACAAAACAAGACAAAAAATAACAAGCACATCCAGGAGGACTGATCTTAATGGTGCAATCTTGTTTAAACGCTCCCTTTATTTCATTACCTACAGTTAGTGTCTCAAATTTAAATGATCGAGGGGGGTTAAATATACTCCTTTAGTTCTGTAGGGATCGAAAAGTTCTCACTGAAATTGCAAACAGTCAGGTGAGGAATGAACAAGCCCACATGGAATCGGCAGAATTGGAAAGCCCATCATTTATATCATTCTACGCATCTCAGAACTAGTGATGTGATGCGACAAAACTCGAAAACTTTCGTTGCCATCAACAAAGCTGTCCAGACTTCACGCATGCGAATCAGGAAGCATTACAGTTTTGTCACATCATCTCACAGACGACACACCATAGGATGACGGCCATACTAACCACAGCGACAGGACCCCAGCTCCTGTTGTACAAGCTCCAGTTTGGTTTGGCAGCGATGGCACCGCCGACGGTTCTTTTGCTTGGGAACTCGTGGAGAATCTTCAGAACATGAGGCCTCACCGACACGAACACGCTTCTCCGGAGAAGACTCGCTCTCTGAACCTGAGGCTGAACACACAAACACACACTTTTCAATGTTTACACAGTTGCAAGTGCATCGCTGTTCATCAATAGTAGAATTTAAAGGGTAGTTCACCCAAAAATGACAATTCTGCCGTGATTTACTCATCCTCCACTTGTTCCAAACCTATATGAGTTTCTTTCTTCTGTTGAACACAAAAGAAGATATTTTAAAAATGTTGGTAACCAAACAGTTGATGGTAGACATCAACTTCCATTGTATTTTTTCTATACTAGGGAAGTCAATGACTTCTGTCAACTGTTTGGTTACCATTTAATATTTTTTGCACAACTGAATAAAGATAAAGATGTATGGAAGAACTTGTGGGTGAGTAAATGATGACAGAATTTTCATTTTTAGGTGAACTATCACTTTAAGTAATAAATAATACACAAATTGATTAATTAAACATACAAATAAAACACTGCATAGTCTTCACTGTATGAATTAAATACATACTGATTCTTATTAAAGTTACAGGAGCTATTAAGTCAAGAGCAGTGAGTTATACTCGTTTTCTTTTGTTGTTTGATTAACATTAATGACACAGACAGCAGCAGGTAAATTAGGCTGCTGTCCCTTTAAGACCTAATGCACAAATGTAATATACTGATACACATCAAATTGTGTCATAACCAGCCGTGTTTATGTGAATACTGACCAAGATGGGCATTTTGCCATCATTTTGTGTGTATTTGACCGTGTAAACACAATAAGCTGCAAAAGAGAACTAAATTTGTGATCACATGCTGTCTGAGAGGCGGCTTTCTGTGCGTGCTTCAGATGTGTATCAATATATATCGCCATACCACCCGGTCCTAGGAAGCAGGTATAACGTGGAGCCACTGCAGAGGGATGTCAGAGGCAGAAGAAAGTTTGCAAATACACTAGACAGTGCCATGGTTTGACCAAAGATTCAACTCTATTGATTTGGCTCTCTCTGACCTTGGTTAGTCAGTCTAAACCAGAGCTTTCAGTGGTTTTAGAGCTTTTCTTTTTGTGGATGGAGAAGTGGAAAGAATGTGTAAAGTAATGATACATTTCTGCATTGATTCACAAAAAAAAAAAGTACATTTACAACTCAGTTCCTCAGTGGTGTGATGTGCTAGACGATTATTAAAAGCTGCCACACACATACACATGCACAAGAACAGTGGTGAGGTGTACCTGAGTCGCAGGGTCGTTTTGTAGGAGTGGATAGCGTGCCACGAGCTGTGTCTGTACTGGAGACTTCTGGGAGAGAGAGAATGATATAAGATTTAGATTTATGCATTTGGCAGACGCACTTATCCGAAGCGATGTACATTGCATTTAACAGTTCATGCGTTCCCTGGAAATCAAACCCATGACCTTGGCGTTGCTATTTAGAAGCGTTTTTCCCTGCAACCCACCATTTGAGAACCACTGGTCTAGATCTCTAAGGATTCAGACTTTCTGGTTGTCTTCAACTCAGATTTGGCCATTTCACATTCCTAAAAGCTAATAAACAAACACATTATAATGTAATGCATTACTGAAGTATTATCTTGCAGAGGTCTATCATTCTCTATGACTGCTGTGTGATATTAAAACGATTAGGGCCCATCTGAGACTATCTGAGAAATATCATCTCAGTTATTTGAAGACAGAATTTGTGTGTCCTCACCGTCCTGTGCAGGAAGAGGCGTGGCTTCTGTCGAGGGTTCTTCAGAGCTGGCTGGCTTGGAGGACGGGGTTTGGCTACTGCTGCTGCTCGTCTCGTTACAGAAGACTGCTGATTGGCTATTGCTTGAGCTGGGGGCGGCCTCTGGAGTGCAGTCCTCGTCTGGCTGTTTCTTCTGTATGTCTGATGGAGAGAACAGACAGAACATGAGTGTCTCTCAAACACAGTTCAGACACACGGATTCACGTATAATCGTGATTATATACTGTAGACCAAGTGATGTAAGTAACTTACCAGCAAAACATTTAGAGCAAAGATTCATGGTTTTGCTGGACCTGAAGAGAGAAAAGAAGAGAAAGAAGATATTCTCTTAAATATCTGTATAGAGGAAGAGCACATGTCTGTTGTGAAATGACCATAATAACACCAAAATATTAGTAGCTGAATCCAATCCTATTTAATTTTTATGATTCTTGAAACAGATTTCAATATCACAACAAAACCTAAAGTGCTGTTGAATTTCTTTATTTAAAAAAATTAATACTTATTTATTCATGTACTAAATTTAAAAAAAGGTATGTAAAAACTTCAAGGCTTTATCAAAAAAAAAAATTTTTTTTTAATTCAATTTTTTTTTTTAAGTTGAAATAAAAATGTGTTTTACAAAATTATTCAGGTATAAAAGCACAAATAAAAAAAAAAAAAAACAGAACACAAATTAAAGGGTTCCCATATTTTTAAATCAATGTATTTCCTGCACGACCTATTCAGTTGTTTGTGATTACTGGATAAAGATGTGTAGAATTTAATTTGATTCAGAACCAGTTCATCTGACTCACTAAAAAGAACTCAAAAAGTCTCGAAAGAACAATTAGCTCACAAAACAAACAACCCTATGGCTTGCAATCAAGTTTTACTCTACACAAGAGCAATACCTATTTAATGTGGGGACATTTGAAAAACAAATCTGAACTGTTTGCAGTGTGAACAAAGCCTCAGACGCCTCTTCAGTGGAGAGCTCTTCACTGTTCTTTACTTGCAGGCTGAGGGTGGTGACATATCACACACTTTATTTACACACACGCAAAGAGCCATCGCACTTCCTGCACACGTTCAAAACTCTCTCTCAGGATGATACAGGTTACCAATGAAAACAACATCAACAGACCTTCTTCAGCACAATCAAGAGCAATCATAATCAGCGCCCAATCAAGGAAGCGGAAGGAAGCATGGGGAGAGAGCAGGGCATTGTGGGTAGGAATAATACATATTAAGAAGATGAGCACATTTGAGTCTTGAAGAGCACATCACTACATGAATACACCATTGAGGCTTCCGTGTGTGAATGAGAAATAAAAATGTTGGAAAGTTGTTTTTGACAGTCCTGATTATAATGATTGTTACTGACATAATCTGAAACAGTTAAACCTGTCGATCCATTGAAACTCATCAGGTGGCTCTTGAACACTATGACTGGCTGATCGATGCTATAATGCCCACCTACCGAAACTGGTCCGCAAATTGGCCAGAACAGATTGCACTGGTGGAAGAATCAACTAATTACAAAGTAAACAACTCGACCAATGATACATCACCACTTTCGATCAAATCCAAAATGTAACGAACATAAGAATCTGTGAGTGAGTCCATTTTGAGCAGCCACTTGGATCGATTAAATAAAGCTACACTCCATACTTGCAACTTTCATTACCCTTGCAATGTTTACCAGGGATTTGCTGGCTAATGATTCAAAAAGAAGGTGATTATCAGTAATTAAAGCTACATAACGAGAGCTAGTAGTAACAAACAAGATACTTGCTACTATATTATGCAGCTATTGTGTAAATGATTGCGCAAAATGTAAACAAAGAAAAAAACAAAACAAAAACGTTTTGCAAAAGATAAAAGATCTTATGTTAGTAAAATTAATTGTAAAATGTGTAAATTATTGCATAAAAGTAAAATAAAGTAATTTAAAAAATTTAGTTATTTTTTAGATAAAAAAATCTTAGTAAAACAAATCAAACTGGCAATAGATAATAAAATAAAAAACACCTTTATGATAATAAAATAAATCTTAAAAATTACTTGTAAAAATAACATGAAAAGGCATTAGCAAAGCATTCAACTTCTGTTGGGAAAAAATAAAGCAGCACACACACACAAAAATTTAACTGAAACAAAAATGACATTTTACACACATTGTACAGCCAAACTTTTAGATATTTTCAGGAAATGTGACTGTCTGTGTGTGTGTGTGTGTGTGTGTGTGCATGGTCTTCCTCAGTCACATGACTCCAAGCCAATCAAGCCGGCCTCTCTCCGGATTAATTTGACATCTCCTGTTAAATGTCATCTGCAATTATGGCTTATGAAATGAGGCAATAGCCCAATCAAGACTCCAGCGCACACACACCTCAGCCCACCTTCTGAAGAGTCACTGTGTGTGTGGCACATTCAACAAACTGAGAAACACAAAATCGCATCACACCATTAATCAAGCCATTTTACTAAATAACCACAAAAACACTGAATCTAATTCAGAGAAGTGATTGATGCCACGCTTCCTACAGAATGACCCCCCCCGCCAATAATTGGCTCTAACTACATACTAAACAAAACAAAATTAACATTTTAATATTGTACTTTTTTTTTATTAATTAAAACCTTTTTCAAAAACAGCAAATATGTATCTTCAAAAGATGATGTAATATCTGCTAACACTCTCAGCAAAGTCTCAAATGCTATCAAAAGCAATTCAGATTCGGGAGTCGTTTTGACTGATCCATTAAAGGAAAGTTCACCTAAAAATGGGG